TTTTAATTAAATAATTATCTAGTTCATACATTATTACATCTCAAATGTATACATTCAGTGATATTATACTGGACCACCAAAAATCACCTCATATGGTAGATGTATGGGCAGATGCCCCATTAAGTCAAGACAACTGGGTAGAAAATTTTTTTCAAATTTGCAAAATACTACATAAAATATTTGCTTCTAATTATCCTAATGTATCAAGTTTTAAATGAGCTGTACATAAATTTCTAATTAATTAACTAATTTTAATCAATGAGTTAAGTATTTCACTCGATAAGTGGCTAAATACAATTAACATCAAGCTTTGTAAAAAGACAAGATAGTCATGGTTTTATCTTTCCTGCTCCTAGATCAACATAGTGGCTCAAATTTGAAACATACTTGGTCGAAAATGTTAATGACTACATGCACTTACAAATTATTCTTCGATCAACTAAAGTAAGATAAGTTTATCAACAATAGTCTCTTGAATCCCTAACTCCCTTCTTCTATAAATCTTCTTCAAGTCCAGTCAGACATTCACTTTATCCTTAGTTTTGTTCTTAACATCCACCATAGTATTGAAAATATTATCAAAAACATTTTTTCTATGTGCATAACATCAAGATTATACATAATCAAATTGGTATGTAAGGCTGATCCCAAAATTGTTTGATTATGATTAACACCAAAATAAGGGAGATGTTGTGAAGATGGCTTGGGACAATAATCTCTGAAATTGCACTAATAATCTGGAATAATTCATTCCCAATTAGACTTTGTGGTGTCTCTGATTTTTCAACTATATGTTGTCTGAATGCATTTTTATTTTGCTTGAAAGGGTGATCAACATATAAAAATATATGAGCAAAATAACTTTCCTACAGTGCTCCATCCTAATAATATTTCATACACTGAAAATTCACTTATTATCCACATTAATGCTACTTTTATTTGGAATTTTTTTTTTATAAAAACAACACATGTGAGGACCCTTATTTCTCAAAGAATTTGTAGCCCATCTATCAAAAGTTGTAAATCGATATCAATTCTTCTTTTTGGGTCATTGAGATCTGAAATAATCAATGTTAGAAATATGTAATGAGTAGATATACACATCTAAGGTGAAATATTATACAGACTAATGATCACAAACCAACGTGAGGAGGGCCAGGCGGCTTGACTGTATATTGTAAGCCCTATCAAAACATACTAAAGCTAATATTATGTGCCTCCACAGTAAATGCAAGAAAAGTACGATAAACAAATTTTTATACTTCTCTATCTAAAGAATGGCTAATTAAACTAATTTCACCAAATCTATTATGCTTACATCTCATATGCAGAGTAGTATACATATAAAGAAATAATCTTTGAAGATAAGGAATAAGTAGCAAATAAAAGAAGTGCTTATTTGGAACTTCTTTTTATTTCTTACTTTTTATGTCTAAGGTTTAAATCTAAAAGACTCACAAAATCTGCATTGATTCTCCCTTATTTTATCCTTATAAAATAACATGCAACCATTGACAAAACAATGTCTTCTCTGATTTTAAATATAACTTAGAGACTAGCTTTTTCCTTCTGCATAAATCCCGTGGCATTAAATTTCTCTACAAATTTGTCTCTTTTAGTAATAATGTAACATGATCAAACTATTCTTAGGGTAGGTTAAACTCTTTTTTAATTGTGAATATTATGAAAGCCATAATAAACTCAAAATGAGACGTGCAATCTTCCCACGGTGGTCTTTGTGCCACATTCAATAATTCATAAAATATTTAAACTTCTTTGTTTGGTGGCACTTTCTTCCCTTGAATCCGATAACGAGGCTTTGTTCCATCAAATATCATTTCTACAAATTTACTTGAGCCAAACTCATATGGAGGATCATAGCTCGTCAAAGCTTATTGAAGGATCAGCTTCAGTGTAGATGTTAGGTTCAACATTGTCTAAGTCTAAAACCAATAATCTGGTTAAAATCGCCTACGGTATAAATCATACGACTTTGTCAGCCGTTAAGGACAATTAAGTTTTGATTTTGGACATGAGCATCAAAGCTTACATTTATATAAGCAAGTCGGAAGCTAAAATGCTTCTTGCATAAAAAAACTCCACACTGTTCAAGAACTCCTCAGTAGGTTGTTTTCTATCCGAATATAGTGTATTGTACATCAATGACTTTACAATACAAATTCCCGTACCTATCTATTTGATAAAAGAATTCATTAAGTGTACGTAATATCGTATGCAATTGCTATCTAGAAGTACTAAATTGAGTAGTATATTATTTGAAAATGAAGCACCAAATTCCATATAGTGTCTTACATACATACAACATAATTTACATATATAAAAGTTAATTTCAATTTTTGCATATATACCATCACACATGGAAAAACATACCACTCAATATTTAATATTTATAAATTTAATACGTAGTACTATTTTCAAATTGGGCATTTACATACATAGCACACAATTCTTTTGTATTTACACATCTCCCACCCAAATTTTCATATTTACACGCATAACACTCAAAACTTTAATAATGCATAAAAAATAGCATTATTATTACTTAAAAAAAAGTGAAATACACCTTTTAATGCATATGTTTAAAGCACCAAAGTGTCATATATGTAAATATAAAAATTTAGGTGTGAGATACATAAATACATAAGAATTATGTGCCACCAACTTTATGTCCTACAAAATAAAATTTGATTTTGGAATTTTTCAAAACATTGAAGAACTTGCGCGGCAAGAACGCGCAGAGTGTTCGGTTCTGGTGGAGGAAGAAGAACACGCGTGGAAGAGTTCGGTCCTGGTGTCGAGGAAGAAGAACACACACGGAGGGTTCGGTCCTGGTGTAGAGGAAGAAGAACGCTCGAGTAAGAAGAACGCGCGCTCGATGAGGAAGAACGTGCGTGATCGGTCCTAGTGTCGAGGAAGAAGAACGCTCGCGGAGGCTTCGGTCTTAGTGTCGCGGAGGAAAAAGAACGCACGCGGGAGGGTTTGGTCCTGGTCTTCGCGCGCGGAGGGTTTGTTCCTGGTGTCGAGGAAGAAGAACTCACGCGGAGGGTTCGGTCCTGGTTGAGGAAGAAGAACACTCCCGGAAGAAGAAAGCGTGCGGGGAGACGAGATGGCGAGGCTGCGCGGGAATAGGCGGGACGAGGTTTCTTTGCGCCGAGGGTAAAAAAAGTTTTTGACGAGTCGAAAGCTGGGGCCACGGGGTGGATATCACGACCCGCTTTTCTTCCGCTTTAGCTTCGTTCTGCCGCGACGCTGGGAGCCAAACGGTCGATTTTCACGATTCAGTGCCGCGAAGCCACAAAAAAGCGGCCCCAAACAGAGCCTAACTTTTTATGCGCTCCATCAAATATGCTATAAAAAAATCGATCGCCACCATTTTTAGCAGTAATTCCTTTAATGTAAATCCATCAAACAACTTGTATATATTATAACCCATTTCAATTTGACCTACTCTGAAGGACATGAACATTATTGCATCTATTTCTAGTGAAACAGTCTTAAGAAAATACATCCATCTTCACCAATATACTCCTAGCATATAGTATTGTTGATATCAATTAGTGTTACGAGTCCAGATGACGGTCTGGATCCGACCACGCAGTCATATATTGCACGATGATCTATCAGATACATCGTCTCGACGACATTAAACATTATTATTTTATTAAATATTATTAAATACATACAAGTTTGGAATATTTACATGCATACCACTCAATTCTTATGTATTTATAGATGAAGCAAATAAGTTTCAATTTTTACATTTTGCCACCTTCTTTATGCTTGAAAAGGTGTACTGCAATTTTTAAAAGTTTAAGTGGTGGTATTTTTTTTTTTTTTTGTAATATGCAAGATTTGGATGGATAAATGTGTTATGATGGAGCTCGGTCTGCCCATCTCGACTGCCGCTCCCGCTCTGTCACGACCACGATCCCGCTCCTGCTCCTTGCCCCGCCCCCCCCCGCCCCCGCCTCCGCTGGCGTCTCCCGCCTTTCCTTAGCCCGGAAGCATCGCTTCGCCTCCTTTTCACGATAAAAGGAGCGGCTCTTCTTCATATTTTGCACGGCATTTTTTGTGTTCTTCTTCGGGCTTCCACAGGACAGAGGAAGAGAAGTGCAACCAGAAGTTTCTTGCGGCAGAAAAAAGAAGAAAATTGTTCTCAATTAGCTTCTTCTTAGTGGCTTGTGGCAGAAGAGAAATTGAGTTTATTTCTCTTGTAATTTTATCTTCTTCGGCGTATCACGGTGTAGAGAGAGAAGAAGAGAGAGCAAGGAAATGAGAGATCTCTCTTGTAAGTCGAGACGATCAACTAGTGTAAATTCCTCAAATAGTAAAATCCTTTGTAACTCCGTAGGCATAGACAATTTGTTGAACCACGCTGTGTTACTTTTAATGGGGTGAATTTTCTCATACTATTTTCCACTTCGTAGTCGTTTTATTCTATTTTTATATATCACAACAAAATGTAAAATTAAAGTTTCGGTGGTGATTGATACGTAAATACATGTGAATTGAGCAGTATTTATGTAAATGCCCCGTCCTTTGTTTTTTTTATTATTTAATGGGATTGAGGCCATACAGAAGGCTACACCCAATTTACTTCTGTTGTTAAGCGTTAAGCCACACAGAAGGCTACAGCCAGTACTCCCGGATTCGGTAGGTTCCCGTCGACCAAACCCAGACGTTCGCGGGTCGGCACGCGGAGCCCAACCGCTAAATCTCCAGATGCATTCGCTCCCGCTACCCTCTTTCAAACACAAAGCAACTCTATTTACCAATCTCATCCATCCTTTCCATCATCAATTCCACGTGGCACGCATCCCGTGGAAATTTACCATGCTCCCTGTTCCGCACATCCGTCTCTTTCAAATTATCAACGCGCATCTACCTCATTAACCAGGAGCAGTTTAACGAACTCCCCTTCCACAATATTATTTAAGCTCAAAATTCATTTTTTCAACTTGCCACCTCCTTCTCAGCTTGTAGCCATGGGGAATTTGCTCTCTTGCCAAAAGAGAGTTGGAAATTTCGTGTTTCTGCCGGACGGTGGAGCTCGCCCGATCGAAAGCTCGATGACAGTTGCGGAGCTTATGCTTGAGCATCCGAGCCATTTTGTTGCTCAGCTTACAAGTGGAAAGCCGGTTCCATTGCCTGCTGACTATAAATTAGAGGTGGAGAAGACGTATGTTGTGTTGCCGATGGGGACTAGGAAGGTGGGGACGAGGTCAAAGTCGCCACCGAATATGATGAAGGATGAATCGTCAGAGGGGATGGATTGCCAGTCAGAGATTTTGTTACAGAGGCAGTATTCAAAAAAGGGGTGGAAGCCAAGCTTGAGGACCATAGAGGAATGGGCTTTGGTGAAGAAGGTGCCGCATTGGCTTTTCTGATGTTGTGAGGATTACAACTGCGAAGTATAAGAGGGGGTAAAGAGAAAAATGGGTGATTGGGCTGTTTCTGTGGATTCAAAGGGTTGGAAAGATGTCTTTTTCAAACTAAAGGATAACAAAAAAGAATGCAAAGTTTATATGGAGGTAAATGTAAAAATTAGTGGTTGATAGCTACTTTAGTGGAACCAATGGTTTGGAGAGATGATATTTTCAGACTTAAAGATTAAATAAAGATTGCAAACTTGATATGTTGTATGAACTTTGCCAAGATGCTTGTAAATTTGTGAATTATAAGAAATATATGAGTAGATTAGTAGAGTTTATTGTGATATTAATTTTTTCATTAGTTGAAGCACGAATATTAATATTAATATCATATTTCATGAGTGAGTCAAATACTTTATTTAAATTATTTTTTTATTAAATGAATTGCAAAAAATTTAAATGTATAGTGAAGAGTTTGCTTCCTAGGATGATTCTTGCAACATAAAAAATTTTATAAATGTATGCACATTTGGGTTCTTGGCTTCATTGAAGCGATCCAAAACAGAGCAAACTTATCCAATCCAGGCAAAGGGCAATCGGCTCTCTCTTCCTAACATAAACATGTTTTGCAGCCTTAGATTCCATCAAAATTTGCATTAATTTGTACAATTACTCTAACTAGAATCCGATTACCTAAAAATTCTATGGCTTTTCTAAACCTTAAATTAACGATCATCAATTGTGGTGTTGTATTGATAATACTTTGAGAAATAATTATGTACTATTGTTGCTATTTTTTCTATGTTCAATTTGATCTACAAATGTTCTTAAGATTTTGAAGATTAAAGTACTAATCCATCTAAATCATTGAATTTGTGGTGTCAAGATATTTATAATAGTAAATAATGTTTCCTAACAATTGATATATTTTAAGATGACATAAAACTGTCTGATTACTGCTAAACCATCATTATTGGCCCATTGTTAACAACTTGGGTAAATTATTGTTGCATGTCGGCTAACTCGCAGAAAAGGGATATATTAACCTCCTAACATTACACGAAAATCTTGCATACACAGATAAATATAGAGCTGATAAACGAGGCACTAGAGGTTTTTATCTGAAAAAAATATGAAAAGGTAAAAATTACAGGGTCTTGCCCAGTAGAAATGGTTCCACTATTCAAATAAATGTTAGAAGAATTTATCTACCATTGAACAATAAAAATTAATATTACAAGAAGAGGAGAGAATATTAGGGAAGTGACAACGATCAGGCTGCAATGATGGAAAACTGACGACTGGAGGCATGTAAAAGAGATAAAGATTTGTTATCACCAATGGCAATGGCCACCATGCAATAGTGATCTAGCAACAATAGTAGTGAAAAATAGTCATTTGTGATTTGACAATGGTGATTTGACAACAGTGTTGTGTCGTGACGTCGGTGATGTTAGATGATTAATTTGGTTGATCTTGCCTCTTCTTAAGTCTAGATATCCATTTTCTGAAAAGAATTCTAATCATATGTGGTTTCTTTAAAATATAAAAACATCGAGAATGTCTTTAAGCTAATGCAAACATGAATGTTAAATGTTATATAAGTTATCACCTTCCATTTTCCTTCTGTTTAATCAGAAAAGTTATAAATGTAGAGATATATGTGCATTGCACTTTGTTTTGAAAATTTATGTTGAAGTTATTTTATATATTAGAGTTATGATGTTAGATGTTTAATTTGGTTGCCATTTGAACTTGTTAAATCTAGAGAAACATTTTATGAAGAGAAATTTTATCAATGTTTGTTTGTTTTTTTTTAATGAAAAATTATATCAATGGGAATGCCTTTATTCTTATGCAAACGTGAATATTAGATACTAAATATTGATATCACATTCCATTTTCCTCATGTTAATTAGAAAAAAATTATACATATAAAGATATATGTGCACTGCTCTTAATTTTGAAAAGTAATGTTGAAGCTATTTTGTATATCAAAGTTTTGATGTTAGATGGTTAATTTGATTGTTATTGCCTCCTGTTCATTCTAGAGAAACATTATACGAAGAGAAATTTTAGCACTGTTTGTTTTTTTTTTAATTAAATCATTGGGAATGTCTTTGTTTTGATGCAAACGTGAAAGTTAGATGCTAGATATTGATATCACCTTCCATTTCCCCACTACTCAATTGGGAAAATTTATGCATACAGAGATATATGCGCACTGCTCTTTGTTTTGAAAATTTATGTTAAAGCTATTTTATATATGAAAGTTTTGATATTAGATGGTTAATTTGGTTGTTGTTGTCACTTGTTTAATCTAGAGAAACATTTTATGGAGAGAAATTTTAGCACTGTTCATTTTTCTTAAAATTATACTATAGGGAATGCCTTTGTTCTGATGCAAATATGAAGTTTAGATCTATATATTGATATCACCTTCCATTTTCCTCCTGCTCAATTAGGACAAGTTATGTGTGGATAGATGTGCATTGCTCTTTGTTTCGAAAATTTATATTAAATTCATTTTATATATTAAAGTTCTGATGTTAGATGGTTAAATTGCTTGCTGCTCTTGTCTCTTCTTTAATCTATAAGTTAGTTTTCTGAACTAATGCAAACATGAAGTGATGGTTTTAAAGTTTGTATCAGTGACACATTTCATTTTATTTGAAATGTTTTGTAGAGCAATGATGGAAAAAAATAAAATAAATGCTCAACTAATCACCAATTGCAAATTGAGTAATTGATCCTTCATATATGTCACATATACTATATGGTATTACTTCACATATGCTGAAGTTTGCCACTGCTACCATTTGGTATTTAAGGCTAAATGACATAATTGATGATCCTGGATGGAGTCTTCTTTGATAAGTTGATCTCATTGAGCTCTTTTTTGAAATCTATATTTTAACCTTTTTTCTTGAAGTAATTTTATTTTACAAGCTAAATAATATTGCTTCTACCATGTTTTCTTATTGATTGATACATTAGAAGGGTAAACAAAAGAAATGTGGGATATCTATCATTTGAGATAAGGAGACAAATATAATATTTTGTGATTTATGCTTGAGGGAGGTAGAAATTGGCATGGATTGACCATACGCTTCCAAAAAGAAGGTTGACAAAATATCACAAAAAACCTTTCAAGAAACAACCAATCGATTATGTGAAAAAACTTAGTTGAAATATAAATGAGATCAACTTTAGAAGGATTGGAAGTTATGGAAGGAGCTAAATAGAGGGGTTACTGGATTAGGGTGGAACTCTATTAAGAAAACAATGAATGCACTAGAGGAGTACTGACAAGAGAAAATTTTTGTAAGTATAAACTTTCTATCAAACTGTAATTATATTGAAATTCAGCTTCTTTAAAATAAAATTTTATCAATTGTAGGTCCTGCCGAACGCTAAAAAAATCAGACTTTCTAGCATTGAGCAGGAGCTGGAGGAGAAGCTTGATACTATGCTTCTTCGTGTTGAAGCAACATGCATCAATGTCTAAGCTACAATAGAGGACCCCACCCATAATTTGCATGGCCCTGGATGTGCTCGTTCTAATGACGTCCACAAGGAAGCATTCAAACATCGAGCGGGCATTGATTGTTTGATGAGGACAGTTATACGAGTGAGTACAATAAATTCGAGAGTGAAGGTGTCACGAGATGATCCAATTAAGAGAAAAGATTACAAATATTTTGGGTGAACACATCAATTGTATTTATATAACATTATGTATTGTCTTCTTGTTGATGATTCCTATTTCAGCTATATGGTGGATTTATACATGTATACTTTCTATATTTTTGTAGCATTTTGTATTAAGGTTTTCTTGATATGTCCTTTCTGCATTTTAATTTTATTGTAAAACTGTTGAATTATTTTTAATGGTTCATTTGCATATCTACTCTTTTTGGTTAATTAAAGCCATAGTGTATTATAATCACATAAAACATGAGTTCAATATCATCAAGTACTTCGGGAGTTCCGTCTTGTGTTGAGTACCAATCAAAGAGGGAAGACAACTATCAGAGGAGATTTTACTCTTATCCCAGTAACATGTCACGTTAAAATTGCAATTATTTTCGTTAGATTGATGACACAGATGAGTTCACTCATGTCAGTGATTAAATCAGGTGAGATGCTGCTGTGAAGAGGAGATTTTTTCGAAGACTTGATCGTCAAGTCTTGAAAACGAACGTCATTCTAGACTTACTGGTTATTTTGGTGTTTCTCATTATTGTAGATATATGCATGAAATGACTGATCACTTTTTATATATTAGAGTATTTTGCACTCCACTAAAGTTTTTTGGGTGGTAGGATCTATTTCTGTTATTATGTTGTAATTATTTTAAAAACTATAGTTATTCTATTATATTACATAAATACGACAAAATTCTTTTTTATCAGAAACAATTGCAACACAACAGATTGTTCAAACAAACTCTTGCTTTTCCAACAACTTTTTAACTGCACCTGAGTAGCTGCTTCTCCAAGAAGCAGCTAGGCAACAACGCTCCAAACACACCCTTAGTGAGCACTTTCTTTCGGCTACATGTTCTTATTCCTTGTGCACTCTCCCTATTTTTTGTTGTTGATTTTGGATTGATTATTGCGGTTGACTATTGTTGTTCCTCGTGATTTTGTAGGTGACAGCTTCTTTACTTTTGTTCATATTTGTAACTATTGATGGGATTTAGTTGATCAATTCTCTTATTATGTTTATTCTTTTTGTTATCTCTTATTTATTTCACATTAAAAAAAATGAAAAGGAAAAAAAATAAATAATAACAAAAAATAAATACATAAGAATCGTGTCACATGTAAATTGTATCCTCATTCCACCACTTGCTATCTTAACATGGAGTGATGGAAACCAAGCTTCTCTCTCCCTCTCTCCCTCTCTCCCTCACTCCGTGAAAGGTCTGTCTCCCTCACTCCAGTATAAATGTCCTGAACAAGCTCTGCTTCTCCTGCTCCGGCGATTGAGTGATAGTAAATTGCAGGGGTGATTGAGAATTTGAGATGGAGAGGGACATAGACGAGTTGCCCAAGAACGCTGCAAACTACGAAGCTCTGACTCCGCTGTTGTTCTTGGAGCGTGCGGCCGTCATTAACCCGCGTCGCCCTGCGGTGCTGCACGGAAGCACAGCTTACACCTGGGCTGAAATATATCGCCGCTGCCGCCGACTCGCCTCCGCTCTTTCCTCCCGATCTATCGGCCCCGGCTGCACTGTATTCTTTTTATTTTATCTTCTGCTGAATCGTTTTCTTCTTTTTTTCCCATTGATTTGGGTACAATTTATCTCAATTTTCTTATTACCTTTGTCGATTATTGCCATCTCTTACCATAAATTGTGAACTAAAGATGTTCGGCTTTTTTTCTCAATCTTCTTATTACCTTCGAGCGCAGATGTATTCATGAGCAGCCAGCCTTTTTTTATCTTATTTTATTTTTAGGATTGGACGGAAGCCGTTCGCTTAGTTTACTCAGTAGCTTTTCAATTTTCTGGTAGTATTCATCACTATTTTTATACAGATTTTATTCACGTTTTGGCAAGATATATTTCTGTTTGTAATTTTTTTTTTCCCGCTGGGACACCAATTTTTAGTGAATTAGTAAATATCAAAAGATTGTTCTTACTGGTTCTATTTTGATGTTTTCCATCAGTGAGGTCCACCGATTTGACTCCTTCTTCTTCTTATTATTTTTTAAATTATTAAAATTTCGACAATTAAGCGAAAGCTAAAGTGGTAATAGTTTACTGAAAAAATTCTTATCATCTATGAGTTTACTGTAAAATTTGGATTCTCCAGATTTTCAATCTCATTGAGATACTTATTATTGCTTCATATGGAATAAAAAATATTATTTTTTGTTACTTCTTCAATTTCTCAATATTTTACTGTTAAATCAAGATTAGCATTGTTGGTTCAATTTCATTTTAATCTTGGCTTTCAGTGCTCTAAATTTTTTGTAAGGAATTTAAGCCAGAGCAATATCTGAGAAAAATATAGATAGAAAGCTTGTCATTGTTTTTTAGGGCAAGTAGATCGGGATCATCCACACATAAGGTTCAGGGTTCCTGGATACTTTAATACACTATTTCATGATAGATTTGACAGCTGCCAACACTATACTCAAATCTTCTGAATTAAAAACTAAATTCTATGACAATTTCCTATTTAGGCATTTATCTACTAAAAAGTTAAATTATGAACATGGCAGTTAAATTGCGTAAGATACAAAGAATGATGGATGTGATGCAGAAGTTTTTGTTGCGCCAATACTGACCCCTCTTCACAGTAAATAAAGGTAAGAGACTTTGGATCCTTGCTGAATGAGAAATAAATAATAAAACAGGATTTTAGGACTATTTAAGCTCGGTAAAGTCTACCTTTTGATGTCAAATCAATCTTTATTTTTCAAGTTGGTACATTGTTGTTATAGTTTCTTTTCCAAGATGAAGTGGTAGAACACAAATGTTGTGTTCTAGCTAATCCCTACAATATATCAACATGTAAGTTGTTAATAAGTAGGGAGAAGACTACAACGTTACCTCAAACAAATCTTTTATTGTTTAGTTTGAATGTTAACTATTGCAATATTGAGCGGCGTAGTATTAAATGTGATCAGTATCTCAACATTAACATATGCTATTATCATCAATATGCCATATGCTTGTTGATGTGCTAACCTAAACGGCTATATTGTGTTCAAGGTCTGCTACTAAACTTATAATAAATCAATACATTCTAATAATATCTCCAAATAGCATACCATATTAAGTCATTGTTTGGCCCATGAAGATCATTCCATCGGTTTGAGAGTTGAACCAAGTTGCCCCAAGGAAAGGAAATATAGATATTAGAGAATACAACTTATTCTTTATGAGGATCATCATCATAAGAATATTCCAACAGCTGAAATTGCAAAATAAAATAAATACAAAATTAATACAATAACAACAACAATAAGCCTTTATCCTACTAGGTCGAGTCGGCTACATAAATCCTTTTTCTTCATTGTGTCCTATTGAGTGTCATATTTTTATTTAATTCTAATAAATTAAGGATCATTTTTATACAATTTGCCCAAATCTTTTAGGTCTACCTTTATCTTTCTTAACATAAGTCAAATCTAAGTTATCTACTCTTCTAACTAGATCATCAGATGATCGATGTTCAATGTGACCAAACCATCAAAGACGACTCTCTACCACTAGAACTAGACCAACCTTTTCCCGGATATGTTCATTTCACATTTTATCTCTAAGATACTCTACCACCTAAGCATTCTCATCACATCAATACTTAACTTAGTTTTGTGCTTCTCTTTTAAAGGCCAATATTCTGTACCATAAAACATTGCAGGTCTCACCACCATCTTATAAAATTTCTTTTTTAAGTTTAGGCAATACTTTTATATAACACAATAAGCCCAATTCATTCTTCCACTTCAACCAACCAATTTGAATTTTGCTAATAACATCTCCATCTATATCACCATCACTTTAAAAAATAGACTTGAAATATCAAAAACGTTCACACCTTTTAATGATTTGATTGCCTATAGTTACATCTTTGACACTAGATCTACCATAATGAAAATTACATTCCATGTATTTAATTTTAGATCTACTCAAACGAAGACCTTTAGACTCCAATGTAGACCTTCATAATTCATTTATTTCCTTAACTTTTTCTCTAGTTTTATCCACAAGAAGGATATCATTAGTGAAAAACATACACCAAATTACATCATCCTGTAAATGTCTATTAAGAGCATCCATAAATAAAACAAAAAGATATGATTTTAAAGCTGATCCCCGATGTAATCCAACGGAAATAGGAAAATACTTGGTCAATCCTCCTTCTATTCGAACACAAGTAATAGCTCTAATATACAAATCTTAAACGTCTCGAATATAAGTCATATCAACACCTTTTTTTTCAGAACTCTTCAAAATACTTCTTGGAACACTATTGTAAGCCTTTTCTAAATCAATAAAGATCATATGTAGATCATCCGTACTCTCTTTGTACTTCTCCATTAAACCTCTCAATAAATGTAGATCCTCCTCTGTCACGTGCTAACCTATATTATTCTGGTTTTCTTAATTTATGAAGCGAATATTCTGTATTATCTATGCAAATGTGTCAAAGAAGAATTTAGCTAGTCTTCAGGCTATTCATGAAATGAGTCGTTGTGATCAGCTTTTGATGAAACTCAGACCTGAATTTGAAACTGCTTGGGTTGGATTGCTGAACAGAGAACCAACTTCTTGTTTAGATGTATGTTTGGTGAATTAATGAGCGAAGAACAAATATTGACGACACAAGCCTCTATCAGTGCAACCGGTATATCATAAAAAATAGTTAATGTTGTATATGCTGCTCAGATTCGAGGAAAGGAAACAAAGCAGTGTTACAGCTGTAAAGAATTTGGTCATATTGCTCGTAGTAAGAAGTTCTGTAATTATTGCAAGAAAAACGAACATATTATTAAGGAGTGTTCTATACGACCTCAAAACCACAAACCACAACCCTTAATGCTACAGTATTTGACTTTCACAATCCTGATTCGACATCCACAGTTGCCGACAATAATCAATCTGTTCTCACACCAGATATGGTTTAATTGATGATTCTCTCTGCCTATTCTGCTCTTGGTTTTCAAGGGAAAGGTAAGACTATTACTTCCGTTCATTCTCCTTGGTTTATTGATTTCGGCGTCACAAATCGTATGACACATCTGAGTTATTGCATAATCAACGCCTGTATAGTTGTACTCAACATATCCAAGTTGCTGATGAAAATAATATTTCAATTACGATAGTTGATGATATTAGCCCATCCTTCCGACGTGTCTTGGCTTCTCATAAATTATCTACAAACTTACCTTCTATTGGTTAAATAGTGGATAATAATTGTGATGTACCCTTTTCTCGTGATGGTTGTGTTGTGCAAGATCAGATGTCGAGGAATGTGATATCAAATGGATCTAAAGTGAGTAAGTTATTTCCATTATAATTTGTCATTCCTCGGACGTTGTCATTAGCTTCTTCAGTTGTTCAAAAATAAGACTGACATCTGACATAGACGATTGGGTCATCCAAATAATGCTGTTTTGAATCATTTGTTGCAAAGTAATGTTCTTGGTTTTACAAATAAAAGTTTATTACTTGACTGTTCTTCTTGTAAACTAGGCAAAAATAAAATATTGTATTTTCCTATTTCGAGCAGTCGTGACAATAAATGCTTTGACATTATTCATTGGGGAGTTACACCTGTTATTTCACATGCTCAGTATAAATATTTTGTGATATTTATTAACAATTACAACCGATTCACATAGGTCTGTTTTTTGCATTCCAAAGCAGAAGTGTTTACCGTGTTTCAAATCTTTGTGACATATATCGAAACTCAGTTCTTCACTTGTATTAAAACCTTACGGTCTGATAATGGTGACAAATACATGTATCATGAGTTTCAAGCTTTTCTTCATGGCAAAGATATTATCTCACAACGTTCATGTCCTTATACATCTTAACAGAATGGAGTTGCCGAACAAAAAAATCGTCATCTGTTGAATATGATGCGCACATTGTTGCTAGAATCTTCTGTTCCAACAAAGTTTTGGATAAAAGGTTTATCTACTTCAATTTATCTGATTAATCATTTACCATCTAAACAATTCAAGTTTGATTCTCCCCACTATCAAAATTTTGGTAATCATCCTAGTTATCAGATGCTACATACTTTTGAATGTATTTGTTTTCTTTATTTTGCTGCCCATGAACGTTATAAGTTGACAGCTCAGTCAGTTCGATGTGCTTTTATGGGTTACAATATAATCATAAAGATTTTGTGTGTTATGATTCGATTAATAATCGATGACTTATCTCTCAAGATGTGATTTTCTTTGAACATGAATATTATTTTTAACATCATCTTTCAACATGTGATATTGTTATACTTCATCATTTTGATGATTCTTCTTTTGATAAACCATTCAAGCCTGGCCTTATCTTCACATGATGTTTAACCCCTTCATCTCCAGTCCTTCCCGACCTTGCTCCTGAAAAAGCTCCAATGATTCTTCGACGATCAACTCGGCACATTCGTCATCCGAATAGATATGACTATTCTGCAATTTTAACTAATTCTACGGTTCCTACATCTTATTCTTAGGTTGCTAAACAGGCTTGTTGGATAAAAACCATGCAAGAGGA